CAAAAATTTGTTTTATATTTTTTTATTTTTTTTTTTTTTTTTTTTTTTAAAGAACTTCATGACCTGCCAGTTTTGACCCCCTCTGCAAAAAGGTGTGGACACCACTACCTTAGTAACATAGCATTCTGAGTTAAATGAAATGCAACAGTCATTTTAAGTGAACTGGAAGGCTGGTTATATGAGGGGGGGGAGCTGCTCTCAAGGGCAAACTCCACACCAGGTAGAATTTAGGATCTTATTATTTTTTTTTGCGTGTGTTCATAACGAATGGAAAGGGCATTTAACACTGTCCTCTTTGTCTGTCTCTCTTCTGCCCAGTCTGGATTATTTATGAGCAAGTGATGATCGCCGCATTGGACTGCAGTCGGGACGACTTGGCTCTGGTGAGTTTTCGCCACACTTCCTCACACGCCCAGAAAGCTTCACAAGTTAATCGTTCGCCCTGTCACAGCCAGTTCGAGTTTTCTACACCCCGCACTGCCAAATTAAAAAAAAATATATATTAAAAATAAAAAGTCATTTTTATTTGACTCCGTCTGTACTTTAGGAAAAAAAATAGTTGGAATTCAGAGGTTGTAGCAAATTAGTTGTTCTGACTTTTTTTCTTCTTCAGCTTTATTAATGTTCCTAAGTATTCTTAGGTCTTAAGCACAGCACAAAAGACATGAGATGGTACCGGAAGTGTTTAGTCATTAATAAATGTGGCATTCATTGAGGAGGAACAAGGCAGGACTTACTTATTAAAATGAGCTGTCTGTTGGCGATCCTCTCAGTCCAGCTGCCACGCTTAAAATAAAAACAAAACAAAGGACCTTAGTTGAGCTGATGACTTGTGGAAGCAATCCAAGTCGCTCGGTAGATTTTTCCATTTAATTCAGTTTAGTGCAGAGGATGTTTTTTTATTATATTTTTTCTACTGTGCCTTGTGAAAATATTCATAACCTTTGAATGAGTGTACTTTTTGTCACATTACAACCACTAACTACAAGCTGTTTTATTGATTTTTTATTTTTATTTTATGTTTTACATTTGATAGATGAACAGAAAGTTGGGTATAATCGTGAAGTGAAAGAAAAGGATGCTGGGAAGGATTTCACCAGCCTTAACATCACATGAATATGTTTTGATCTAAACCATTCCATTGTAGCTCAAGTTGTATGTAGGGCGGCAGCTAACGATTATTCTAATAATCGATTATCCTGACGATGAATTGGTTAAAAATATTGGCACATTCTGCATATTTTTCATTTAACCACATTAGCCATTTTTGATTAATGGATAGCAAAAAAAATGCTCAATAGAAGATATATATAAGATATATATATTTTTTTTATAGAATGTGATCCGGGTGAAGCTAAAACTAGGCCTCTTATGAAATTATGGGTAGAACAAAAACAAAGGTGGATTTTTTTTCCACCTTAAATCCAAAATGTATGTGTTTGTATTCAGTTTTGGCTGCTTTCAGTAAGCTCTCACAGCCATTGGCATGTTATAAAAGCTGTACACTCCAGTAACAGATTATTTTATTACTAAATTAGTTGATAGTTTCGAAAATCAACTAGTCACGATTAAGCCGATTAATCGCTTTAATCCTAATTGAAACATGACAAAATGTGACCCTCAGGCCTTTAAAAGGCACTGTAGCAGTTCTGACTTGGATCATATGGTATAAACTCCACCTTTGTGTGGAAAAGCAATAAAAGAAGTTGCAGTAAGAATCCTTATTTTTCTTCTTTGTGGCTGCAAGTTTCCCAGATGAGTTGCAGACTAACCACAAGTTGTCGTCAGACAAAGGAGGGGGGCGGCTGGCGGTACGCCAGGTTATTATACCAGTCACTTCTGTTTATAGAAAGAAAATGGGGAACAAATCCTAGGAAATTCTACGGTACCTGCATGAGAACAAGTGTTTTATAAAAATACCACTGCCTGAATTGGTCTGTTTTTTTTTTTCTTCTTTTTTCTGCCCCCCCCCACTTCCTTCCAGACCTGTCTACAGGAACTGAGGAAGCAGTTTCCAGATAGCCACAGAGTGAAGCGATTAACGGGCATGAGGCTGGAAGCTTTGGAAAGGTAAGCGAGAGAGAGCCAAAAGAAAAGCAGCACCAGAGACGGTTCTGTGTGATTAAATTGGGAGATGAGGGTAGGAAGGAAAAAGTGTTTGCAGAGCCTAAGTGGTGCTGCGACTAGGGCGTGTTTATGTACAGTATGCTGTGTTTATATTGGATCGCCCGGCGTTCGTCGTGAAGAAGAAGAAGTGGGGAGGGTGGGTGGACGGGGAGCAGCGACTCAGCCCTGCGTGCTCCTGTGGCCCTTTAGCTTGTGTCAGGGATTCCCGGGAAGGAAGCGGTCGGCTCCCACTGTTATTCCAGGGGTCCCTCTGTCATTTCTGGTTTCTGTGCTATTCTTTTCTCATTTTGTTTGCTCCTTACCACCATTTCTATTTTTTATTTATTTTTTTGCTTTATTTCTTCCCTCCTTTTCTCTATTTTTACACTTTTACTGTCTTGTTTTGGTTTCTTTCCTGCGAAAAGGTCTTAGCCTGGTAAATATTGACACTTTGCTACACTCGGCATACGGATCTGGAGGACGAGGCGTAAACGGGTCGGCCCCGGCGCGGACAGTTCGGTTTGTTTATGACTCGGCGAGGATCACCTCTGCTGGTTTATTGGTTATGTCAGTTTATGTGATAATTGAGAAAGATTGCTCGGGCTCTGTCAGATTAAATAAACTGCACAGTAGGATCTAATTGGCTGCAGACAGAGCTCCACTTGAATGACACAACTTCAAACAGTATAGCCCTTCCTCTTCAACACACACACACACACATGTGCAAACACACACTTGGTTCTTGAATAAATAAAGCAAATCAAAGTGGCTCGTGAGTGGTTGCCTGGTGCCATCTAAAATCTCCCAAAGTGTGGCTGAGTAATAAAGTGAATGTGAGGGAAGCGTCAGGGCTGGAAATGGGGCTGTGCATTGCTAATGGGAACCAGAGTTGCCTCTGTATGTTGCAGACTGTGGGTGGGATGGCTTCTGGTCACAGAGCCACGGCTCCGGCTGCCGGCGCTTCAGCGCTGAAGAAAACAGTCGGCAGTCACACCTTGGTGCCTGATTTGATATGACAAGTGAAGTGCAGATTTTCCTACATTATTTGGTATTTATAGCTCATACAGCCTCCCTATCGCTGAAGTGTCTCATGACCACAAACTTCAATGTATTTTGTTTTGAATTGATGAGATGAAACAATGCAAGTGGTGCTTGACTGTGAATCAGAAGGATTGATGCGGGGTTTTAAACTGTTGTAAAAATCAGGGTTCATGTGGGTCCTTCAAATCCTTGAAATGCTTGAATTTCAACTAGGTGTCTTCACTTGGGTTGATTTCTGTATAAACTCATTAGAAGTTATTCGACCTGCACGGTTTTATAGTAAAGTGCAATTTAATCTTTGATTGTAAGCCTAAATTTGGAAATGTCTATTTGCAATTGAAACCTGAAGTTTACATACAAAAAAATAACAAGACAGACTTTTTTTTTAAAATTGTTTTTATCTCCAATGTGTGGTGCTGGAAAAGTTTGGTAACTTCCTTTGAAATTGCTGGAAAAGTGTTTGAATTGTACTGTGAGAAAAGCGTACACACCCTGACGAATACAAATCTGAAAAAGGGCGAGCTGTTTGACGGGTATAAATACTTTATCTAAAGCTCTAGATAAAGTGAAAACTCTCAAGATAAACTCATAAGAGCAGCAGTTTCATTCATTTAAACCAAAGTGAACTTGTAAACGGTTGCATGCAATAGTAAAAATGGTTCGATCTGTTCTTATTGTGTTCATAACTTGAGGTGAAATTGCCATGTGACAGTGTGAGCTGCACGACTAACAAAGCCAAAATGATTTCTGTGCAGCCTTCACTTCAATCAGCCTTCTGCCATGCTGTAAGCATTACCTTAAATTCACTCCATTTCCCACGACTAACTTCTACCTGTTTCTGTTTTGTCTGCGAAGGTACGACGAGGCCAACAAACATTACGACGCCATTCTGCAGGAGGACCCCACCAACACGGTAAGGTGGACAACAAATCTGCCTGCTTAGCCTCAAACTCGGCTTCACGTCGTCATCTTCGCTTTAAATCTGCCTGACTTTGGTGTTAGCGGTAGGAGTTCACTAAGTTGAGCTCTTTGGCCTCACTGCTCTCAATCACTGTACTGATCAGCCTATCACACACACACACACACACACACACACACACACACACACACACACACGGCTGAAGACTGATTAGGGTGTGGGGCTGGGTCACTGAGAGGTGATTCATGATCTTAGTCAGTGTTATATATGTTTGGGAGTGAAATGTTAATAAAGGTCCGGTCTTTGAAGGTGGTGATTTATCAGACCTCCTAGGGTCCCAAAGTTTCTGATCCACATTCTCGTGTTTTTCCTCTTTTTTTTTTTTTTTGTCATTCGTTGACTTCACTTGAAACGTCTGTTTTGTGGTAAACTCCAAACAGCGTTTTGTACAGAACGCTACTGGACGTTTGTCCTCTGAATTCAGTTCACAGTTCATTACGGGGGAAGACTTGCATGTTGGGATATTGTTCTTTTATTCCCACGTGACTGTCCGTTCGCATAATGGACCTGCTGGTAATTGCTCCCCTCAGTACTTGTGGCTTGTTGTGGGAGTGATTTATTTGAAAGAGGTTCACAAAGAAACTTTGCCTGGATTCACTGTTGCTACGGCCGTCCCCAACTTTCCCAGAAAAGTTCAACAAGTTTCCTCTGACACATCGATACAAGGCTGGTTAAGGTTTGGTCAATATCTCTCTCAGATGGACATCCAGCTATGCGTTTAAAACGTATAGTACTTGCAAAATAATGTCAAATATAGTTTTATTCTATACCATTAGCTCCTGTGGTAACAAAGGAAAACACAGTTCTTTTTCACTTTGCTAAGTTTTCAGGTGTTGCTTCACATTCTTGTTTTGTCTAAAGACAATGAATTATGAACTATGCTGCTTTCTAAAGAAAACTATTAGATTGTATCTTAACCTGAATCGTAAGTAGTGGTGTGACTTGCTAATGCACAAGACACAAAAACACAAGACATTCGAACATCGTTCAGATTGTTTGTCTAGCCTTCCTGCCATAACCAGCCAATTATAGTAAGTCATATAGGGATATGTGACATCACACCGTGTTTTATTAATCATAAAACAGACAGTGACCAAGGATTTTACTTTCTAAGCTGTCTTTAACATCTTTGACTATGGCAATGGTTCTCTGTTATTTTCTGTCATGGCCTTATGAAGTATACACTTTTTTCGCTTCCCCTTGAATTGAAATACTATTTAGTAGCTGGTATTTATCTGTACTAGCACCTGTATTCTGCTTACACTTGATTTTCAATACAAATCAAGAAAATGAGCTGCAACAACTTAAAACTTAGGTTTGTCTTAAGTCTTAAAATAATTTCCAAGCTCAGTTTGTTAACTCGGTTTGAAACAATTAACCAATACTTGGTCTGTGGGATTCTCAAGAAAAAAAGTGCAAAAGATTCACTGGGATGTAGATTTTTAGTATTAACACAGTTAAATTCCAAACTTTTTCTTTTACACTGTAAACATCCTTGTTAGTTTAATCTCTCAAACTTCTCCATCTCTCTTAAACTGGTTTGCTAACCACCTTAGATCAGTGACAACTTCTACACTGAAAAGTTTTTAGTTTTTTAGTTTCTTACTGGCTGGGCACCGGTCACGGCCAATCAAGCTGAAAATTGTCATAATCTAAATAAATACAGATGTAGATGTTAGAACTAGACTTATTTTATTAACAGTGAAATTTGCAACAAAATGTTGTTGCTTGGCTATCGGAGCACACAGGAAAAAAAAAAACACACAAAATTAAGAATTATTAGATTATCTCGTCTTTGCATCCAGTTTATTCTTTGGAACGGCTGTAAATGCAGAGTTGGTGCCACCGTGCATCCACCCACTGTTTTGACAGTGGGAGTAGTGACTCCAGTGACTCCCATGGCATCCCACCTCCTCCACCACCTAAAGACTCCTGGGACTCATTCGGAAAGGGAACGGTCCATTTCCTGGTCTTTGCTCGCTGGAGCCTGCCACCCTGTCGGGCTTAAGCTGTCACTCAAACACGGGACTGGGAATGGAACAAAACACTCAAAGTTCATTCCCCTATGGTAACTTTCAACTTTTTTTTTTTTTTTCTTTTTTTTTCCCACAATGCTTTTCCTCACTATAAGGGTATTGATGGCGGTTGGTGTGAAACACACAATGACCTCATTTAGCCCACCTGTCTTAGGGTGGGGACACCTTCCTCCCTCAGCGTTCTCCACGGAGCACTAGATTGTGCCGGAGATGGGTCTGAGAGATGGCGGAAAATTGGCAGCTCACGAGGAAGACTTGCGAGGCATCCCAGCATGTGAAGCAGAGATTGGAAAGGGAGCTGTTGTAATTACAGACTGTGGAATAGATGTGGTGCACATTAACCAAAATTGTTGAATCAACAAAAATTGCTAAGGATTTTTTTTTTTTTTTGCCAAGGAGCTTTTCCAAAAAGCATTTCAATCTCTTTAGACCTTCCACTGCTTGATATATTCCAATGCCTACATCAAGTTGCTAGCCAAGTGTTTGTCTCTTTGTTTTACCTTCCGAGAAGGATTTTTTTTTTTCCCACACGGAAATAGCAGTTTAGTACTTTATTAAACATCGAGCGAAACCACAAATAGTATTAATATTAAAATCTACTGCTCTCTTTGCATTTCCTCTGTCGCGTTTTACGTCGGACGATTCCTGAGGTTTATCCACAAATGTCTGGAATTAGATCCACTTCTGGATAAATTATGCTCTCCCTCTTGAAGATTTGAAGAATAACATCTCTTATTTGTTTAATGAAGATGTTCGCTGTCCTGTGTGCCCCTGTGTTTCTTTTTTCTTTTTTTTTTTTTTCCTTTTCTTTGTGGCTAAAATATTGCCTGTCAGATGAGGTTGCAGTCTCTCAGCAGGTCTCTATCCCATCTTGATGGATAAGTGGATTTTGTTTGATGGTAGTGTCAGACGAGGCCCAAATTTACAGTCCCCTAGACATGAGTCATACACGGCCCCCCAACGGTTTCAGTTATTACTGTAGGAGAGGAAGCCCCACTCAATCAAGTGCCAGTCCATAAATAAAATAAGGTTGTGGCGGGGCAGCGCGCGGCTAATGGAGCAGCAACCTCCTGTTAAGCTTTTTCCCCTTTAGTATCAAAAGAAGCAGGAGAAGAAGAAGAGGAGGAAGAGGTGGTGGGGTGAGGGGAGAGTAAAATATTTGGAAAAGTCAGAGCAGCAGGGGTAATTCTTCCTAATGCAGATTGATGAGAATCTAATCCACCTTAAGGTCAGCTCCAGCTTCAAAACGAGGCGGAAAGCAATTTTCAGCTGATGCGCGTCGGAGGCCCGTGCAGCTTGGGGATGCGTGCTGCGCCGGCAGGAAAGCCGGACGTCGGGGTTTGAGGGAGTGTGCCATTTTCCCCACTTGGTAAGAGGATGAGTCACCGCTTTATCTCAGCCACTGAGCTCATTCCAGCTACCAAACACTGACTCATAATGTGTGCCCATCTCATGCTAGACATGGCCACTAACCAATTTCCAATTATGCCTCCGTAGACGGATATTCATGCAAGTTTCACATTAATTGTATTGAAAAAGAAACGAACAACAAAAAAAAAAAAAAACATATCTTCTAAAATCTCTATAACACAGGAAACATTTTGGCTTCTCTTCTATTTTGTTTCACAGCGAAGGGATAAGAGTCACAGTGGCGCGCTGAAGAAGTGGAACTCGTAGACTCACTCGAGCTTTTTACCGCCGTGCACACAAACACTTGAGCCGGGGATGTTAATCCTGTTTACTCTCTCCTCCACAGGCAGCAAGGAAGCGCAAGATTTCTATACTGAGGGCCCAGGGGAAGAGCACTGAAGCCATAAGGGAACTCAATGAGTATCTGGAGCAGTGAGTTTTCAGCCTCTTTATCTGCTCCAACTTTTATTTTAATTAAAGACGAGTCTACTTTCAATAAAGGCAACAAATCCCCACGATTATTAATGCTTTTCAGTTAGCATCGGCACTATTATGTTGAGTTAGTTGGAATGTGTTCACTTTGTTCGAAAAGAGAAGGAACGTAATTCGTTTTTGCACTTCCAGGTTTGTTGGAGACCAAGAAGCATGGCATGAGTTATCAGAGCTCTACATCAATGAACATGAGTAAGTACCCCGAGTCTCTTTTTGCGTAGTTATGGGAAAATGTCTTAATTTTCCCACTAATATTAATGGATATTAGTAACTTTGATGATCTAGTTGGGCCCAAATCCTTCTAGACCAACACAGCATCATAAAACAGCTACTGCGCATGTTTTGCAACAACTTGTTGTTCAGCAACATTAGCTTACCTAACTTGTTGCTATATACGCTAGCAACCACTTTGTTACCAAAGAGTTAGCGAGTTAGTTGATGCTACCAACCTTTCTTAGTTGGGTCATGAAAGGTTAAGCTGCTAAAGCCTTTCATCTGCCCACATCACCCAGAATGCTGTGCGGCTTTGCATCGGAGTTCAGTGAAATTATCTAAATTCTGTCGGGCATATTTTCTGTTTATCACGTGTCTGTCACGATAGATGCCGTTATTATTTTAGCGCCCAGCCCTGGGGTAATTATGTACCCTTTTTCTCTAGAAGGACATTGTGAGTTGGAGATGTGGTTCATTCTGCTTCAAACATTGTGAATCGTTTGGGTCAGCTTCAGGATAGAGTTAGATGAGGCCGCATTACCCACTGTCCTCTGATGTTCAGTGAACTACAAATGTATTTATACACCTTGAACATTTGAATATTTTTTCATTTTACCCCCACCAACTTTTTTGGATCTTATTGGGATTTTTGTGATGAAACAACACAAATTGGTGCATAATTATTAAGTGGAATGAAAATAATGGCCTGGCTTGGTGTTCAGTGTAATTGGGTCTGCCTGTCTACATTTACAAATGCTATAACTAGTGGAAAACTAACACTTCACATCAACCCAAAACACATCATTCCTACAATACAGCCGAATGTGTTTCTTGAGAATTGACTTGTAGAGGATGATTATAAATAAATCACCACACCTGTCTTCTTTTTTGTTTTTTCAACCATGTATCATTTTCTTTCCACTTTACAATTATGCGCTACTTTGTGCCGATTTATCACGCTATAAAATACTTTGGAGGTTTGCAGTTGTAACGTGACAAATTGTGTGGAAGTTCAAGGGAAGGGGAGTGAATATTCCTGCAAGGCACTATAGGCTTTATGTCTTTCTAATCAATTAGCACATATGAATAGCTCCCATTCTTCCTGGTTAAGCTATTACTAACCTGTACAATTACAACCCATTTCATATAATAGACCATACAAGCAGGGCATTTTCTCCAGATGGTGATGTAAGGCATCATTAACAGTCTGTGAGCTATTTCTGCTTCTCCCTCAGGACAACTACTGTATTTATTTTAAACCAAAAGTAAATGATATAAGATCCCAGGGTTCAATAAAATAAAAGGCACTTTGGAACATTCTAACACACTAAAGAAATGTCAGTGTATAAAATAGTTATCTTATTCTACCAAATTACTTTTTTTCCCCCAGCAAAATATAGTTGTTACTTAAACAATAAGTTTTTGGTATTAAATGGCGCTTTGCATCAGTCTGACAGCTTGATCTCTTGAGAGCTGCTGGATAGCCACAACATAACTGTCTGAGATGCCAAACTCAGCCAGGGGTCTGAATAGAGTTTTGTCCATGTTTGTCACATAAGAGTAGTTTGATAGGATTTCAGTCTTAAGCCCCTCAACGCTCCCTGGCCTCCCACTGGCGAATATATGCATATGGTCAAGATGAATTTCCGGACAAACCAAAGCCTTGTTTAAAAAACCCCCAAAACAAACATGAAATTATTGGTGCCAGATTTGTTATATCTGAGCTTGTTTGAAGGTTCAGAGGTTAGTGGAGCAGTGTCTGCCGTTTCATTAAGTCTTTTCTGCAGCCATTTGTGTAGACACTTGTCTCTGTGGTTGCTCCGGTACAAAGGTAGTGGCAGCAGGAATGTGTTGCGCCGTCAGACAGCTACTTATTGGATATTTGGTGCTTTTGTCTGGGAGGCTTGATGGCTGTAGCGGCCAGAGGAAATCCAAGGGTGAGACCATTATCTCCCGGCTAATCCCAACATTTCTAATATCACACCATTCACTCCCACAGAGCCTTATCTACAGGCGTGTCAATTTCTTTTCATTCTTTTCTTTATTTTTGGGTTACAAACTCCCTGTTTCCCGTCCTCCTCCTCTTCCGGCCGGCCAGGCATTATCACCAGGGTTTTCCTAGAGGGATGGAGCAGGAGAACACTTGCTGTGAAATTCCCAGGAGAAGGTGGTGTTGCTCGTCCTGCCTCCCCGAGCCGCCTGCGAGAGAAAACACGGGTTGTTGTTGAATTGTGCAAGAGAGAAAAAAAACTGTCCTTCCCTCAATGTCCAACTCCCTGGAAGCTAATAATAAGCAAAGTGATGTGTGTTTGCATTGATGCTGAAAGTGTTGCATCACAAACACAAACACACCATCTAAATAAGAATCACCAAGTTGTTAATATTTCAATGATGCTTTTTGCAAATATTAATCTCAGGTTCTGGTTTTGAATTTGATATAAAATATTAAGCTCATGAGCTCATAACTGAAATGATTAATCAGATAAATCGTGATTACTTGTGATTAATCAAATATTGAAATAATTGTCAACTAATTTAGTAATTAGTTGAGTAATTACCTCAAGTAATCGTTGACTTGAGTATAAAGACTAAAACAGGGCCATTTGCTGAAATAACACTGAGAGCAGTAATTAAACCAAAACTATAAAAAAAATATACATATTTCAAACAAGATATATAAACAAAAAAGCTTTTGTAAATATGTTCTACACAGAACTCCTAAAGTGTCATAGTTGAAATTTTGTAAAAAATAATGATTTTTCTAGAGGGAAACACCAAAATCTGCCATTAAGCAGCTTTTCCTACCCAATTATTTATCAGTTGATGCAATAATTGGTTAATTAATCTACAAATCACCAAATGTCCACTTAAAGGAATACTATGTTATGGGATTCTAGGTAAAAAAAAAATGTTTACATATTTCTTTTTAAAGGAACTGAATTGTTTTTAGTATCTTTTAACATATTTCTAATGTATAAGAAAAGGCTTACGTGGTTAAGTGAGAAATCTGCAGAATATGCCAATTTGTTTATCTGATAACAATTACTACTAATAATCGTTAGTCACAGCCTTACTCACAACCCAAAATTGGTTCTCCGCATCCTCCCCTCCCCCCAAATGCATTTCGCCAAATCTAAATCAATTTCTGTCTCCTACACTGTGAGAGTGTGGCGTTAAATACAGAGGGGAGCATTTGCTGGCGGTTTTCTTAGCCTCCAAAAGAAACAAAAACAAGTCCTGCAGCCTCACACATCATAGCGGCTACAACCTTCCCTAAGGCAGCCCTGGTTAGGAGTTAATTCAGGAACCCGCTTTAGGGTTGCAGCTTGGTAACAGTGGAGTTTAGATGGCTTAGACGGCGAGTACACAGGGGTTAGGGTTCTGGATGCGGCACAAGATTCAGCTTGATGGCTGACGGGGTGAGCTCTGATGCAAGCCTCGGCCTCTGCACAAGCACATCTGAAAGTCTTTATGGAAAGGAAGTGGTAATTGTAAGCAGCCCCTCAACCCTTCAAGCCCTCTGATCTCCCCCTTCCACTCAACTCCTTCCCAATGTTTATTTCTTTCTGTGTCCCAAACCTTCCTTCCCTGGCTATTCTGCTAATCTTTCAACCGGTTAGAATGGAAGATGTTAAACAGGCTGATAAGTTTTTCTTGTTCTCGCATTCAGCATTTCAGTCATGGCTCTCTTCACATCCCAACATTTGCCTTCATTCTTCAAACACAGTGGAAGATATTTGATGGAAGATATGCAAGTTTGAAGTCATGTGAAAAGACGTCTAATTCAAAAAATGTGTAAACAAAAACTATTGAGTATATTGAAGTTTGACTTAATTTCCGTGTAAATCCCTGCATAGAAAGGCGCTTTTTTTCCCCTTTCAAATAGTTGCTTGCCTGCATTGCTTACTGCACAAAAGTGTATTCTTATTTAGTTAATCATTTAATATTTTTATTATTACTATTATTATTATTATTATTCGACAGCCCATCCAGGATTTTAATTGTTTTTTTTTTTGCAATCAAAATAAAAATGTTTGTGTTGTTACTTCAGAAATATTTGCAAGAAATTTTGCAATAGTTTTTTCCTCATTAAGCCTCTTCCAAAATCTAAATGTAGAAGAAAAAATATGAAAAAATGCAGACAGGTTGTAATCTCAAACATTTTCAGCCTTTAAAGCACTTAATTTGATACATTTCTGTTAGCTGCCATATCTGTCTTACCAAGTTGCACGCATATCTCTTCATTGCGTTGTGTGACTTTTGGCAGTTAATGCTAGCGGTATCTCACTGCTAACATACCCTTGCTAGCTTTTCAATAAAGTCAATTACATATTAGTGCAAAACAAAAAAAGTAGCGATCTGGTGATATTAAGTGAAATTCTGCAATTGTGGAGCTGTGAATGAAAGACTTGCATTTTCAGAATTTTGCCAACTTACAATCTATGGTTTTGTAAAACTTTGAACTGCTGATACCAATTTTGCTTTAGAAACAATAATATAAATTCTAAAGCATCACTAAGAATCTGTCTTTAAGCCATCCTGTGAGTGTTGATTGGGACCAGAGCAGAGTTCAGGATGCATGTGTGAAAGAGGAATCACTAAATCAGAGTATTCATATTCTTTTAAATAAAATAAAAATTGATTACAGGGTTGCCATTAAGTTACCTAGGCTAGCATTACCAAAACAAAATTTTCTATAAAGACTAGAGAATATAGATCCTGATTTTAAGCTTTAAAACTCAATGGAATAAAATGAAACACCTTTGCTGTGCTGTTAAATCTCCCCGGTTTTTGTAGAAAGTGTTGCTCTCCTGAAAGAGTTTCCTCTTCTCATATTTCTGTGCTGCTTCTAACTTCTTTATGAGACATTTTTAAACACCTCAGTAACCCTGAAAAAAAGAAGAAGCTAATTTTCAGTCTTATTTCCCCAGTAACAGTATCCACATCAGAGTTATGTCATTGGTCAGCTCTAGTCAAACTGAAAACCAACTGACTTGGATCAACAGCAGGATTTTCAGTCCATTTCTCAATTATCCTGATGGTTTTTGGAAAAGGAAAACTTTGTTTTAAGAGCGGAAACTGCTGTAGATTAGTGTGAGAACAACAGTTTGGCTGCGTGTTGCTAAGAAGTGCTGTCATATGCCTATTAGTGTTTCTGCTTTACCTGTGGTGCTGAGCTGAGGAAGGTAGAGAAGTACAAAAACTAAACGCGCATCTAAGAGTCGTGCCCAGTGTCCTCAAGGGAGAACGAGAAATCATCACATTGGATGGCATGGAAAGGAAGAGCCTGAGTACCCTCTGCCCTGATCATGTAAATATGTTGCATGTCAGTTACTGGGAAACAGATTAAAATCTCGCGTGATGGCTAAGATTTAAATCCTGAAACTTATTGGTGAGTTTCAAAATGCATTTCAAGGTTGGTGGGCAAGCTAACGGATGACTCATCCTGAGCTGTATCTATTGACTTACTGTTTGCCTCGTCATTTCCACAGCTATGGAAAAGCTGCGTTTTGTCTGGAAGAGCTGATGATGACCAATCCTCACAATCACTTGTACTGTGAACAGTATGCGGAGGTGAGTTCATCATCAACCTTGAGGGCAGGCTGCGGAGTTAATGCTGAGATCCCTCTTTTAATAAGAAAGGAAATATTTTAAGCTTTAAAACTCAATGGAGTTTTAAAGCTCCTTTATTATTACTATTTTTTTTTAAGTGAGGTTACGTTATAAACAGTAAATATCCTATGCTGTTGGCGTTTTCATTTAGTTTAAATCCAGATTTAGTTTCAGAGCCTTAAGCTAACGGCTATTCTCTGTCAGGGGCCGAAGCCAAAATGATCTTCCACCATCTTAACACGACTCCAATGTCAAAAAGGTCACACTTCTTATGTAAATGCCATTTTATGGGCCTTTTTGCTGTCTTTATCTTGTGTTGTGTTTGGATGAACTGCTCTAATCCGTTTGGAGCAGGAGTTAATTTTGCTGCTTTGGTCGTCGCTCCTCTTGGCTTCAGTCAAACTAATCTGGATGTATGCTAAATAAAGATACTAAGAGAGTCACTGCAAGTACGATAGTAACTGCTTACAACTTTTAACACAACCTCACTTCAAAATCTGCCCTCTTAAAGGCATCTGTGATATAAAAAAGAAACCCGAATGATTTCTCTTTTAAAGGGCAGGACCACTCAATGTCATTGGGAACATACTGTAGACTCATTAAAGCAGATGTGTTTACTCAAGGTGGTCATGGCTTGCTTGTTCAGATGTCGTGCTGTCATTGCTTAAGTTGCCCTTTAGTAAAAGCCTTGCTTTAATGCCTTCTCTCACAGGTGAAGTACACACAAGGGGGCATGGAAAACCTGGAGCTGGCCAGAAAATATTTTGCCCAGGCACTGAGGTTAAACAACCGGAACATGAGGGCCTTGTTTGGCCTGTACATGGTGAGTACTGCCTTGCTTTAAAGAAAGAAGCAACACAAGGAGAGAGAAAGTGGGGGGCTGGGGGGAAGAACAGCAGGACCATTTTAGCAACCTGTGGTTTGTCAAGGTTAAGGTTGGCCACAGTGAGAGTTAAGTAAGACCGCGTGTGTGTGTGTGTGTTTTTGTGGGGGGAAAACAGAAGGGGCTCTCAGACAGGTCATCTCGCTGCTGACTCAGACGTTGAACCCCACTGCTGGAAAAGTGTCCCCCTTTGCAGGGCTTTATTTAACCAAAATCTTGTATTAGCAATGCTTCACGTTCTATTTAGATAAAATAGAAACAAGTAGTAGAAAAAAACATATCAGCAAGAACGGTCTGACCTCAGCAGGTATTTTGTCAATGGCAAATTATCCAATCAGTGCTGATTTGATTGCGGCCCGAGTTGAAACTGCCTTCCATCTGTGCATTTGTTTAAACAGGATGTTGTCAGCTATGGCCAGTAAAATACATGTAAGAGAGACGTGACATAAAAACACAAACAAAGCAATGCCAAGAATAAAGGTTTCAGATTGAAGAAGGAAACTCTAGTGTTTTCACCTTTCTCCACTGGGAGTTTTCCTGCAGTCTAAACACCACAGAGCGGCCAACACCTTGTCAAACCTCACAGAGGTGGTGGCAGCAAGTCCACAAGCAGGACAGGTTCTATTTCAAGACATTTGTCTGTGTTGCCCTTAGGCTGGTCAGGTTAAAGATGTACAGCCATGCAGTAGTCTGTGTTCTGTAAACGTCTGACGGGCCAAATGTGGTGTTTGGCCAGATTACCAGCTAATGTTAAAGTGTCTAAGCATAGTTTGCTTCTAAAACATCCATCAAAAACTGGTCGCCCTCCTAGAGTCAGTTAATTCCAACATGGTAGTCTGATAGGATGGCACCTGTCCAATAAATCCACTCATTACGTTTCCATGCCGGAAATGTAACTAGTCAACCGCTAGTGAAAATATAACAAAGTGGAAGCGACTAGGAACAACGGCCAGTAATCCATGAAGGTATGTCAAATCACAGAGCAAAGAATGCAAAGCCACATAGTGTGGAGAAGTTGCTACCGGCAGAGTCGATGGCTACAGACTTCCAAACTTCTTGTAGCCTCAAGTAAAGTGGGTCAAGACCTTCCAGGTTAGGTTTCCCTTCAGGGAGCAGGTACATGCGACCCACACAACCAACCTGGGTCCCCTTCAGTTGTACGTGTATGACAATGGTACATTAGGGGAAAGCTACTGGCATCACCTAACATAATGCATTGATTGACAAGCAGAAGTTGGGGTCAAACCCATTGATGCAGTGAAAGGAACTCTTAATGGATCAGCAAACCAAGACGTTTTGTCTAGTTTCATGGCGATGATTTTGTGGAAACAGGTTGGGGACCCTAACCATGACCTGTTGCCAATGTCCACAAACCAGTCAATGAAGACATGAAGGGCCAAGTTTGGTGTGGAAGAACCAATGACCTTTGGGATGGATTTAAGTGGAGGCTCCAAGCTATGCCTTGTCGTCCTACATTAGTGTTTGACCTCACTTATGCACTTCAGGAAAAACAAAAGGTCTAAATTCACATAAACACGTCCCTGGAACTTGTGGAAGACCTTCACAGTTTAAACTATTACAATAAAGAGCACGCAGGTGTTTTATTAAACCATAGGGATTAAGAATGGGAATGTCACTTAAAGATGTGTATGTATAGACAGATGAATACTTTTGCAATATAGTGTAGCTGTCCAAGCATTCTTCACTCGGTGATGACTTCTCTAATGAAAAGTGTTATTAGTAGGGCTACACATTATTAGGAAAATATGCAAAATACAGTACTTGAATAATATCCACTTAATATTATTATGATAATAAACTTAATAGCCAGCTGTTAAAATAGATTTTTAGTCCCTAGCTATGCTTTTTAGTTTCCTGGTCAACTAAAAAAAAAAAAAAAAATCATAAAATTGGATGATTCCAGGCATCTTAGCCCCTTTCTCAGGAAATATTCACATCTGATATAGAAATTTGTTTGTCTGAGTGTTTTTTTTCCCCTTTGGAAATTGTAATTGTCTCTTTTTTCAGTCTTGACAGGTGCAGGCAGTTCAGTGAAAGGGCAGAAAACTTTCACCATCCCAAACCCTGTGAGTCAGTGTGACAGTGGACTTGGTAGCACTGACCACAGTTGGCTTGCGGTCGAGTTACTGACAACACATGCACGGGGATTCCCCTCCATAATGGAGCGTGCTGTTATTCAGGGGTAGCCTGTCAGGGTTGACATCATCCAAACTGAGGTTTCTATTGAGTTGAAAAATAGAAACAAAGAAAAGGCATACTAAAAAAAAAGAAAAGAAAAATACAGAAGCCAAACCAATTTTTTTCCTCAAAACAACAGGGCCAGGTTGATTGGTATGTAGTTAAGGTTTCAGCACAGTGGAAGAGAGAGCTTTGAAGTACGGGCCGGCTAAGTCTTCTGGGGTTTGCTGTGTGGAGATGATGGCAGGAACATGGGAAAGACATGGGATTTGTGGTTCAGAGGGGAGCTGTCGAGGCAGGCACAGACTGTGATTCACAAGGCACTCTACTCACTGTGCAATAGGCGGTTTTTTTCTTCTTTTTTTTAACATACAAGTCCTTTCATCACAGAGAATCAATGGTGTTGGAGAAATTAGACCCCGTTAAGTGACAATTTGCGTATGAAGCATTAAAAGCACTCACTTTTTCCTCCCCATAAATGATTCCCCCTGTGTCATCAGGCCAAGGTCTGTTTTTTCTCTTCATTCTGCCACAATGACTAGTGGAGTGGTGGATGGTAAGAGTGGTTGCAGATTCATCTCAATTACCTTTTATTTTTAATTTTTCATTGCCGTTTCACCAAGTTTTGATAGTAGAACACTTCTTCCCCTGTTCTCTCCTTCACGTCTTCCTCCCCGTTTTCTGTTTTTCTCACAGTCTGCAAGTCACATCGCTGCCAGTCCCAAAGTCAGTGCCAAGGTGAAGAAGGACAATATCAAATATGCAGCTTGGGCTGCTGCTCAGATAAATCGAGCCTACAAGGTGAGAGGATCGAGATCTACTCAGACAATGCATTCGTCGTACTCGGCTGCTTTATCAGCTACTGAAAGCCGTGCTTTCCACATGACTCTTCAGTCCCCCACGCACCAATTGAAAAAAAACCCAAAACAGCTTCATCTCTTGTATTTTAACTTTCATTGGATATTTGCGCACAACATCTAGTCATTCTGAAGACCTCTTTATTTGCATAAAATTGGAAAGAAATTCACTGCCAGAGTCTGCCTCCCTGGCTTTCATTTGCAGTGCTGTTATACCAACCCTTGTGGCTTTCACCCCGTCTGGGCACATTTACTCTTCTTGTATTAAGTTAAGGTTTTAGCGTCTTCAAAGAAACATGTTATCTTCAGGAATGAGCTTCGTATATAGCCATAATCTGATCTTGGCTAATAATTACATTGAACTGTGAAGAATTTCAGACTTGTACCACAAGACGCGAAGTTATCTTTGACTGAAAAAGTCAAAAACAGGTGAAGCAATACAGAAAATAGTCACAATGTCGGTATGATGTTCTTTGTGTTTTACAATCTATTGTAATATTTCAGGGTGTAATATTTGTGTAATATTTTCAGGGTGTAATATTTGTGTAATATTTCAGTGTCCACACGTTCAACAGTCTTAACTACCAACAGACCTCAGAAAATTTCACCATTTTTGCTGTGCTTGATTGTAACGCAACCGTCCCCTGAATTTAGTCATTTAGGTCTTGAATTTCATCCAAGGTGGCATTAATAAGGTCTTAAATATGACATGCTGAAACCCACAGATGCTTACAAAATGCTCATATTGAACAAAGTTCTGAAGGTCACAGTTTAATGGAAGTGCAGATGAGAAAGAGGAAAGAAGAATCTGTGCATATATTGCTCTAGATGTCGTCATCACAATATTTCCCAATACTCTCACCATCACAAGATTATCTAAAATGGTGCACCACTTTTAGGTGACTCACTGTGATTCTGAAGAAATGCAGTGTATTTATTTCACTGTACTTTAAAGCTACTTTATACGGAAATACGTTGATTTTAGTAACTTGTAGTGAAGTTTTGTGTTGGGGCTTTAGGAAATGTCTGAAAAAGCCTTTTGATTTTACTTCTTTGCTTTAGAAAATGTTTTGAGTTCATAAGTTTGCCTTAGCGTTTTTAAAGCATTCTTTAGTCTGTCCATTTTATCTCGTTTTCTACATCTGCGACCAAAAGCAAAGGTCTTTGCAAAGCAAACCTAAATTAGAGGAGCCCATCTGAAAGTGTTCAGAGGAGTTGGTCAGTAGCATAACCAGTAGTTCAGCACATGTTTCCCTGCTTAAATATTTTCTTTACCGTCTTGTGTGTTTGGGAGAAGCTTTGCCCACAGAGACGGAGCACATCTGGGTTCAGTGATGTCGGCTGCTTGGAACCAAACAGCCTGGCGTGTTTCTAATGTTTGTTTATTATTAAGAAAGATGACTCTAAACTACAGCACTCATTTTGTGCACAAACATTTAGATAAAAACAACAAGAATACTTTAGATCGGTGTGTTTAAAAGGACTTTTAAAGGGTTTTAGTGGCTGAGTGACTTTCTCTTTTGAATTAACACGAAACACTTAGATTCCTTATTCACTAAACTACCATCACATTCCTCCTTTTTAGTGTTTTGCAAAAGTACCCGTCATTCATATCTGTAAATACAATCCAGTAGCTACGGTTGGTTGTTAGTCAAAGGTATATTAAATGTATGTAAATTCATAGCATAAATAACCTTCAAAGGTTTACCAGAGCATTAGTAAACAAGCAGCATCACAGAGACAAAAGAATGTAATGTATTCATTTTATATATAAGACAGCCCAGGTATGCAATGGTCTGTATTAGTTTCTTGCATATAATCCCAATAAAATACTTTGACGTTTTTGGTTCTCTAATTGCATCTCTAATATCAATGTTGGAGCAGGACACCGTTGTTGCAATGCGACAATATATAAAAAAGTTTCGCTTTCCTGGAGGTTCTTTCCCAACAGCCTGCAAAGTTGTAAACATCAGCATAGTTATGTGTAACCGTGTTATTATGCCTTGCAGCAAACTTGCACGTTCCCCCTTTTTTTTTTTTTTACCCCCCTCCCACCCACGTGAAACGGGCTAAATAATAAGGTGTGAGGTTCTGCCCTTCATTGCTTCTGTCCTTCCTCCAGTTTAATAACTTCTGAGCCTTTCTAAGGTAGCGGAGACGTGGGCCTCCGTCAGACAGCTGCAGGCTGCTGCGCGCTTTGTGCTGGCTGATTGATGGCCCCTTTAAAGTGTTGTTCGTGTCAGTCGTCCGGTTTTATTACACTCCGGTACCTGGTGATTGTCATACCTCAGCATTGGGGTCGGGGTCGGGCAGGTGGGCACGAGACGTCGACGAGGGGTCACGGCCGACCGAGGTACTGACATCTGAAAGACCTGGAGATGTCGGGTTTGTTTGGGGGCTGGGGGTTCTTGGCTGCACTACATGGGTTGGCCTCATGCCCCGACTCTCCAAACAAATTCTCTGATTAGCTCCACTGTCACGAACCACAGGCTCCCACTGCCTCATGACTCTATTATCAGATGCTCTAAATAGATGTGAAGCTGTCTGGTCTGCTCCTTCTGTTGGAGAGGAGGGCAGAAGTTAATGTGGTGGTCTCACCTCAGGCTGAGGAGATAATTGACTATGAGGCCTGGGCTAATGGTGCATTAGGCAGTAAAGCAATTAAATGTGCTGATCATTGCAGCTACACCATCTCAACACACACACACAAATATATATATATATATATATATATATATATATATATATATATATATATATATATATATATATATATACACACACCATAAATCTAGAAGAATGAGTCACTGTTGGAAGTTACGTAGCCAATTTTATACCTTCGCCAACTGCCCTCTCTAAGTTTGGCAAAAAAGAAAGGAAAAAGTTTTAGCATGGAAATAACAGTATGGGCTAGGTTTAGGTTACAGTTACTTCCTGTTTGTGGACTCTTGAGCAATGCCAAAGGTGGAATGAATAAACGTGTCAATTCAATAAAAGTGGTGCTTTTTATTGAAAAAAAAAGACAAAAAAAAGAGTAAGCAGGGTTTTTCTACACTGCTTCAGAAAGACAACATGTAGAAGCTGCTTGTAGTTTGGTTAACTGCATGTCAAGTTGAGGGGCATACATTGAGTGGGCATTGATTAGACATGGGACAGTGTGAGATTCTCAACATTTAAAAACTAACCTTGTAAGTGAGGGAAAAGTGAAGACACATTATGCAGCAACAAATGAAGGACAACTTTACCGTCCATAGAGCCGGAGAAAACTCCCATCACTCCAGAACTTTCTCCGTCGTCCCATTAAAGGACTTAAATCTACAGGAGCAGCATGATTGAAAATGTAACATTTAGTGATGCACCAACGTGAACATTTCTGCCGATATTGTTGTTCGTTATTAACATTGGCTTTATAGCCAATATCCAAAACTTACTGATATTGCATAAACCTATTCTTTTGATATGTTTTCATTTTTACATTTTTTCTGTTTACTTGTTTGTATACCTCCGACATTGCTTCTCTGCTTCAGTTGGAAATAAACATTGGGTATTATTTTCAGCCCAGTTTTACTTATGGGACCGATATGGGGGGGGGGGACAGCATATCTTAGTCCTTATTTACTATTAATGCTATTAATATATCGTACACCTCTAATCATAAAATAAATCCACACTGATTATATAATTACTAAATAAACAGTATAGACAGAGTTGTTTATCTAATGTAATTTACATAGATACAAACACTGTTTTCAATATGGACCCAGTTTTACTTACCAGGCCGATACCAATATGTTAAAAAAATGACTAAAATCGTCCGATACCGATGTCATTGCCGATATATTGTGCGTCTCTTCTTAAAATCAGGAAAATTATGGGCAACCCTGAGCATCCTATTCATGAGGCTGTTTTTACAACTGCAGAGTTTCTTCAGTCAGAGACTTCTTCTGACTTGCTGTGATACTGATTGCTATAGAGGAGATCCTTCCTGGTCACAGAAGTCAGCATCTACAAACAACTCTTTGAAGAAAGTTGTCTGATATGTTGTTACAGAAACATTTAATCTCCCTTTTGGATTAATAAAGTATTTTTATGTTGGATGGGTGTGGTCTCTTCAGCTGCCCATCTTGAGTATCTGCAGTTTAGAACAAAACCTTACAAAGCATTCAAAAACCTGTGTATTATCACCAATCTCAAAGTACGTCTGCATTTCAGATCACTTCAGACCTTGAAAACTTTTAGAACCTGTTTTTATGTTTTCACATGGATTCTGATGTCTTATCTAACTTTTGCTTTGAATTTGGACTCCAGACAGAGTTGCTGACTGCAACCAGGGAACTCTCTGGAGGAAAGCTGTTCAACAGAACGTATTATTGATGGATTATACAAGTCGACGTCACTCATTTCGTTCATCGTCGCAGCAGCCTGTAGGCCCGACCTTACCTCAGCACATTGCCCTGAATGATCGCGTAAGAGGTTTGATTGGATGAATTTGTTCCATTTCTGGCTTCTCGCCTACAGTTAAGGAAGTCATCTTTCCTTGACGTATTTTGGAAGGGGCTGCCTTGCCCGCTGCAGAACTAAATTAGGTAGAAAGATTGTGTGTCTGGGTGTGTACGCATGAGTTGTCTCGTACACGGCTGTGGTTATGATTCGCGGCACTTCCTGTGAAACAGTCTGGACATGGCACAGCGTCGGGGGATGTTATGTGCTCCTGCTCCAGAGGCCATGGAAGTGGACTCGTACTAGACTCCTGCCTCCAAGCACTCTTCGATCAAAAATGGCACTTACACAACATTTGAACAAAAACTCTTTTTAATTAGAGGTGATTTCTTACTTTGCACGACCTATTTACCAACTCTAATGACTCTAGTTGCTGATTATTTCAGCTTCTAGGTCTGAAACTGGAATTAGGATGTTTTCAATCGATGAGCCATCTATGAAGCCTTATTAAAGTGTTTGGTTTAAGGCTGTGACTGACTGTTTTAGTGATCGATTAATCGAATAATCGGATTTTAAAAATTGGCGCATTTTAAAGATTTTTCATTTCACTACTTCAGCCTTTTTACACAATATTAGAAATACGCTAAGAGATGCAAATAAGAATATAATTCAACAATTTTTTGAATAAGAAAATTAAAAAAAGGATTGCCTAAAATGCAATATAATAGCAATTCTGTAGTGTATGCTTGATCACTTGTAGCACAGGATGCATCTGTAGCTTAAAAAATCCTATCTACTAATCTGTTTATATTTTGATTAATAACTGGATAGCAAAAAGTTCTTAATAGTTTTTTCCCTTTGTTTTTTACAAAATTAGAAGCAGGTGAAGCTAAAACTGTACTAAAACTAAAACAGATTTACAAACAAAGGTTTTTACTTATTTTAAATACAAAGTATATACATTTTTGTACACCTTTGGCATAATTACTACTATGAGGATGTTGTTCTTTCAGCAAATGTCCTTTTTTAGAGTCTGTATACTCCAGTTGACAATCGATTACTAAATTGGTTGATGATTAATCACGGTTTGTTCAATTAATCATTTGAGCCCTAAACTGGTTGCATTTTAAGCCTCATACATAATGAGTAGACTTAATTATTGCACTGAGTGGTGTGTTCTTTCAGCAAATGCCCTTTTTCCAAGTCTATGTACTCAAGTTTACAATTAATCAATTACTAAATTAGTTGACGATTAATCACGGTTTACTGGATTAATCATTTCAGTCCTGGTCTGGTTTCATATTATTTAAGCCTAATACGTAATGGGATTTTTTTCTGTCTCTCCTTCCTTTACAGCTGGCTGGTCGAGGCAATAAGGAGAACAAATGCTCCATAAAGGCAGTGGAGGAGATGCTGGAGTCCATGCAGATCACCATGTCATAGGTCTCCTGATTTCACGTTTCCTTTTTCTTCTGTTAAGTCGGAGCAACATGGCAGCTCAAACATCCCTGCAATTTGACCATTCATTCATCTACAAGTGGTTTTTTTTTCGACCACCTTTAGATTTATTTTTTCTGTGATTACTTGATTTTTAACAGAAAATGGAGGATGCTCTTAATAACTCTAACTTAAGTAAACCATGCTGTAGATAGTTTACCCAGCTTGGATCATGCAGCTCCCTGATTCACCCCAGTTTCTAGCAGGTTTGAACTGTTATCACTTAGTACTACATCAACATTAATATTCATACAGTGTGACCAGAACACATTAGCTGTACAATACATGCCATTTATGATCCCGTATGCTCGTTTTCACAGATATCTGTAAAATAAACTAATAAACTTTTTTTTTTTTCAAAGTGGAACAAACTACAGATCTGAATCTGATTTTTTGTAAATTTCTGAATTGAAGCTGATATAAAGTTAATCCAGATGCGCAAAAAAAAAAAAAAAAAGCTGAGCTGTTTACCTGCAGACCAATATAAAAACCCAACAATGTTAGTATTTTGTGTGCTAATGTTTAAAAACAGGAAATAGAGACATTTAATCAGAAAAATAATGGAATTCTGAAATGGAAAATATGGAGGAACCCCGAGACTAGAACTTCTGTCTCTTGCAGAAGGTTAATTACAGGTTTGTTTGGCCTCAGATGGCAGCTGACTCAACTACAGCAAGCTGAAAAAAATGTTGTCATTCATCAATGCAGACCTCCAAAAAAATATGCCGACAATGATTAATGGAGGAAAAAATGTATTGATGAATCTGGGAAGAATCCTGACAGACGGAAGAAGGGATGCATCTGAAAGGCGTCTGAGGCGGGCCTGCTTCCCTCATCTGGTTCAGGCTTTACGAATCGAGCCTGAACCGGATAATAATCTGGAGTTGTTCACCCATGCAGGATCAACTTTTAGTTCCATACCTTTTTTTTTTTTTTTAAACCCATGGCAGTTGTCTACAATTTTCCTTTCGGGCTGAGGAAAAAGAACTGTCGGGTTCATATTCTTCTAACGGCTCTTAAGCTGACACAGGTCTCCGGCTCAACGCCACTAGTGAGGAAATTCATTCTTTGCCGTTTTGTTTTTGTTTTTTTTGTTTTGTTTTTTATGTCTCTGGGTTGGCTCATGAGTGTCTGCATTTGATTTGCCTCAGCAATTTACCAGAACCAATGAAAACCAGGCGATGTTTTAACGTCGACCGACCAAAGTTAGTTTTACAGAGGAGAGAGGTTCAGCCCAGAACGGACTGCCTTTTGAAGAGTTGCAGAGTGAAAGCTGTTTGATTTAATGCAGAGTTGAGGTTTTATTTATTTATTTGGTTGTGTTGTTTGACTCCCGTGTAAATTTTATATTTACATTGAGCTCATGGATGAAGTTATGTAGGAGGAAAAAGAGTTGTCAGTTTGACTCTTGATCAACATGAGAAATTGCTCTTCACTGCCCGTCAGACTGAACCAATAGTGCCATCTGTAGTTTGGTTTGGGAACTGTGACTTTTGGAGTTAGGAGGAGAATTTGGAAGTGTGATAAAATCCTCATACATGGATTCATAACATGTTTTTTTTTTTTGTAGGTTTGTGCCTGTGACGATGAAGTCACACACTTTTGTAGACGAGGAAAATTAATCTTTGCGTCAGTCCTGAGAGCTTCCACTGTCTTCTCAACTTTCTAACGTTGGTCCATATATTAACAGAGACGACAGGCTGAATTAAAGGAGACCGCAAAGAGAGAGAGCTGCCTAATCCAGTATCTTATCTCATTATGTTTAGAGGATTCACTATTGGTACTGCGTGTAATCCGGGATTCCCAGGAAGATTAGCTCCAGGAGGGGGTGGGGGGGCATCTTGTTCTTCGCTGCTGTGCTGGGCAGTTTAGAACAGGATTAGCCCTGGGATGATGGGCTTACACTGAAGCACGGCTTTGACTGGTCAGCCGTGTCATCAAATGGAAACCCGACGACAAAAAGTTACTTTCAAAGTTATTTTTATCCATAAAGATATGGATAAAAATACATTTACCTCAAAATAAATTTGAGGTAAATGCCTTGTTCAGTTAAATATGTGAAGAAAAAAAACCCCCTGAATTCAACAGATAAAACATATCCACTTCTTTTTTGGTTCCATCGTTTACGATCCAAGAGCTTTAAGTGAATTTCTCTTTCCCCAAATGTTAATTTTGCCCAGAGGAAACATTCTCAGCTTCTACAGGATCAATGTTGATGTAGGAAATTAGCTTGTTTTTTTCTTTTTGGTTGGTCATAGTTTGTGCACTTTGACTTGACTTGCTGGATGAAGCTTCTTTCTGTATATGCGTGGCGCTATGATCTACACAAACATGGTGGGAGGAGGGGGGGATTCTATATTTGATAGTTGTCTTACGTATGGTAACACACGCATGCAAAACAATGTAATTACTGAAAGAGCTTACTGTTTTGAGGGCTGTATCCATGGAAAGTTGAGTGGAAGGAAAAAGTGTGCTAGGAAAAGGTGCAGGCCCCCCCCCAACCCCCCCCGCATATGTGTCAAAACTGTCACCATGTCCTGACAGTACAATATGAGACAGAAAACCTGTGGGGGGTGGGGAAATGAAGGTCTTCTGCCTCTTCCCAGTTATCCTACACAGCTCCCAGTCAGAAACAACCAATCAGAGCTAGGAATAATGTCTTATCAGTGTCAATCATTTTCGTGTATGTGCTGCTCACACCCTTCCCTGGCATGACGCACACAATCATCCAAGCTCAAGATTGGCTGATGTTTCAATGTTGAAATAATGTTTTTGACGCCATTAGCTAATGTTTTACGTCAACTTTAGTGGCTTAGCTAGTGGCGTGAGACAACGTGGTGTTACGTTGGAGAACTGCCAATTTCTCGCGTTCAGACTCTCAACGTTTTCTCAGAACTTCCAACTGCAGCCTTAAAAATCCAGGGAAAAGCTTCCACATTTAGTGTTGGTGTTAGGAGCCTCTAAATCTGCACCAAAAGGGCTTCAGCAGAGTATCACCATATGGGTTTGCACATTTATGAAATAAACATGTTGCACTTTATTTGATTTGCTTCTTTAAAATGATTATCTTTCATTTTGTCATCAACAAAAAAAACATGAATGTGTGGGTTTTCTAGATGTACTGTTTGTGCAATCGGCTGTCCAGATAAATCAAAGTCTTGCGTCTTAACTGCTGCATGTAGAACACATATATTATCACACAGGATATTAAGCTAATCTCTGTGTTTAATAAAGACTCTAATGATGACTTAACATATGACGATATGCTTCATCCACACAGAAGTGACTCCTCGAGTCGCATCACATTCCCTCTGCTTTCAGAAGTTGCATGTCATCGAACTAAAATATTAGAGGACACGCAAACATGCCCTATAAAGCACTCGCTAATCGGGGCTCAAATACGGCATCCAACTAGCTAATGGAAAGAACAGAATGACTCATCAAAGGTGCCTGTTTAATCTCGCGGAGAGATACAGAGACAACGTCCCCCACTGATGTAAGCATGCAAGATAATCTCAATGATTAAATGTGGATTACCTGCTTCTACATTGTCCGTCTTCAGCAGCAGAACATCTAATTGTGGTTTTGGTGCAATGACAGCATACAAATAAAGGACTCGCCCCAAAGGTCATCGCCTAAAAAATGAGAAGTTAAAACAAATCCCAGGCTCGTTCCTAAAATATTCATTTGCATAGTCAGTATTCTGATATAACTGTAGATTTAAATGAACCAAAGTGAGTACATGGTAGGTTCCCTACCTGCTCTGCAGAGGATATAAGGGGAAGTAAGGTAACCTCTGTTGGCTTGAAACATGGCTACAGAAAGCTTCAATGGGAAATTTGTCGAGCGCTGTGCAAATTTTAAGTGCAACTCCCAGATCCCCTTTAGGAAAAGCACATATAGGCATCTTTCATTCCCCTTGAGTGAAAGATCCCTACTAACACCAAGCTAATGGGAAAGCTCTCTTTGTATAAGATGTAGACAGAAATGTTCATTGAACATATAAGCTACGTTCGCTGCTTCATCCTCCACGTAGGTACACAAGAGAAAGTAAATTGGGTTATAATACCTGAAAATGCAACTATCATCTCTCAGTGCTAGTTCTCAAAGCAGATGTAGGGGATTCACAGGCACGTTAACACAATCAGGTGTAAAATTACGACTGCTAACAGGGAAAGCGAGTTACTTGTATCTCTTTATTGTTGCACCTTGTAGTGTGACGGCAAAACTAACAGAGATGTTGTTAGAATAGGACTGAATAAAGCAGTTGTAAACAAGTTTATTATATTACTTAGCCATTAGCCAGGGCAACTGGAGGCACAACACTGCATTTTCCTGCTAACGGAAACGCTCCCCTTCATCTCTTATGGCTTAGGATTTGTTCAGAGGATAATGCTACAATCTATCTTTAAAGTACTTTAAAGTACTCTGCTTTCTAAGGTAGAATTAATCAATGCTACATGGGGACAGGCAGGATAACAGGTCGCAAAAACAGAGGTAGCTAGCAACAACCTTGTTGCTAGCTACCTCTGGCGTGCAACAGCAACTTTTCAGGTTCAAAATCATCCATTCTGAACACTGACAAACGGGTAGCCTCACTTCCCCATGCCGAGGGAGTAAATAAAAAAAGGTAAGAGCACATTTATTCATCACTGTCTCTTTTATGAGGAGAGCCCCAGAGAGCGCTAAAGATGGATGAGGCACGCAGTGCTAAATCCTGGCCTGTCCAGTCGCATAAGCAAGCCCGATGATGAGATAGTGTTTTGGCAACGGGCAGAGATGGCCTGATCCACTCCCCGCTTTCTGGGAATGGGATACGGGAGAAAGCAAAAAGTTGGACCAGCGAGAACTCAGTCATATAAGACCTGAAAGCCGCAAGAACGCATTTGCCGCAGTCGCTACGTTTTGGCCACCCAGAACTCGCCTAACAAGTTCAAATTAATCTGCAACTGTGTTTGATGTATGATAACAGTTTAGTAATTCTGGTTTGTTGATCATGATTTTTTTTCTTCTTTTTCTTTTTCTTGTGGAGATTAATTTTGTGGAGGGAATGTGACAAAACGGATCAGGGTGTGCTCTATTTTTATCTTAGACTGATTG